GCCTGAAAACATGCGACAGATTTTAAGTGAACTGTTGATAAATTGCATTGATTTATCAAATCTACTCGCTCATGTAAGCATGTGTTGATATCTCGGCGTGTGCGTGTGTGTGCGCGGGTGTGCGTGTGTGTACACTCCCTATGGGAGTCCATAAATACGTGGCATCCAGATGGTCAACAGATAAGCGAGTGAACCTTTGCCGCCAGTGGCGGGAGTTGTCATAAATCATTGGAGTTCTGCACTTTTTTGGGCATGGCGCGATTTAAGCTTGTTATTGATATAGGCTAACAGGTTTATTTGTTGGCCCTAATGGGGCTACCAGAAATAGATGAATGCGGCCGCAAATTTTGTTGAACAAAATGATTGTGGAAATGAAATCATAAACCAAAATGGAACCTGATCCAATTACGGGTCTGTTTCAAATTCAATGCCATGCAGTTTGTAAATTTCAATTAGCTAAGTGAAACACAAACAAATTATATACCAATATACGTATATACATGCCCAGTACTTATGTGCGTGTGCGTGTGTGTGTGTGTGTGTGTGTGTGTAGACAGCCTCGGCCATTGTGTTAACAAATTAATTACGAGAACGGCAAACAATGAGACAAAGTTGACATTTTACTTGCCATTTTGCTTGGCGTAGAACTTTATCAAAGGTTCCAGGCCAGGCACCAGGACATATTGTGGAAAACTTTCATTTTGAAACTTTGGCAAATGATTGAAACGAAACAATGCAAAATGGCTTCAAGTGCCACATACAAAGTACCTAATTAGCCGGCTTTGTGTTTGGGCTAAAATCAAAGGGGGCCACTATTAAAGCCCCTTCATTTATCCACTTTTTCGTGTATTTACATTTATAATTATGCAAAGAACTTTACATTTCAATTAGATGTCGCATTTTAGAAATTTAATTTAGCTGCGATACCAAAATGTAGCCCAAAATCCGTTTGCCACGCCTTTAACTGGGATTATGTACAGTTCGTAAATGTTTGAGTATTTGAGACTTTAGTCAAGGTAATCAACTCAGCTTACCTTGATTTTATATGTTTTAATTAAACAAATTTAAATTGAATAATGTACATTTTCTGTCGCCTTAAAGCTTCAGCAGCATCAACAAAAGCAGGCACCGAATTGGCGTTCAGGCTCAGGAACAAATACTTAGCCCTCTTGCAAATAAGTTTTATGTGCCAGGTAAAAGTTGAGTGAAGCTCTAGAAAGCAAATTCAAAGTATGTCCTCAGCATTAAAGAATATTTAAATTGTAAATACTTTTGCAGAGGGAAGATCTACATTATTTATATTTTATATATATTTCTGTCTTTTCATGTTTGTAACAAATATTAATATACACCTTGTATTGAATTCAAGAATCATTTGTTAACTTTTAAACGGTTGATAAGAAATTAGTAATTAAATCTGGCTTGATTTGCCGTAAAATTAATTTAAGTTATTATTTGAATTCACTTAGACAAGTGAAATCCGAAGTATAATAAAAAAATCATTTGGATAGCTGAAACGTGTATTTGACTCTTTTTATAATTTTGCAACGATTGAGTTTTGACACATGTACAAAATTACAGATAGATCTTTGAAAAGTCAGCTTCAGCACCGCTTCCACTAATTTCCCACAGTTAAGGGTGGATTTGCTTAAAAAACTGCTTAAGCATGCGGCTTAGGCTGTGCTCTGATCCCTTATCAATCTGTCTGTCAGTCGATCAGGACAAATAGTTTTCTAAATATATAATTAGAATACACTAAAAGTTTGGTACATGACACTTCTTAATCTAGAGCATGGGTCTTAAGCACTTTAGACATGATTTATATTCACTTATATGATTTCTATCTGAAATGGATACTTGGCATTTAATAATAATGGCTCTTTATCGTTTCTTTATTGGGTGTAACTGTCATAAATTCATTAAAAATCAATTTTAATTACAATTGCACAACTTGCGCTGCAATTGCTCTGCCAAAGACAATCATGAAGTTGTACTCGGAGACGTGAGGCTGTGTCTGTCTGCCAAACTTTGGCTCTACGTTTTGGATGCTGGCAGCCCTCGGGCAACACTTTAGCGAGCGAAAGAAATTTCCTATAAAACTTTGAACGGAACGCTGCCAATTGAGCTGCAACTCAACTTAATTAGCTGTGCGCCATTAACTGCCACTTTGAGGAGCAGCCAGGACAGCAGTCGGAAGCAACAAGTCAGGGGAATAACCGCATTCCTGGCTCGTTCCAGAGACTTCTCCCATTAAGGTTTAGCGCCCTCGTAATGAATACAGCCCTCAGACTGAAATCTGAGCATTGGCAAATTGCGACAATTGAAATGTGTTGCGTAAATTGTTATGCAAGTACCTACTTAAGGTTTAACGCACATACATTGGATAAAACACGGAAGAACTTGTGGTTTCAGGGAGCCTAACACCGAACATAGGTGCGAATATTTGGAAAAATGTCTGATAGATTTTAAAAAACTGTGGAAATTTAAATCAAACGGTAGATCAAATCATATATATTATATATTAAGTAGTTGCATGAAGTATAAATATTCTTGATAAGAACATGAGCTGAATCAATCCCACAATTTCTATCAGCCTTGCCGTCTTTTTGGCAAAAGCTAAATATTTTAAAATTATCATAAAAATTTGGAAAATTGTAAATTGTATTACAATATTTAAACTTAAGTTGAACATTTCTCCATGTTTTCCTTCTGTTTGCTTCGTTTAAAGGAAGACCCTACATTTTTGTATTACAATATACATTAGGAGGAACAAAAATTAAAGCCAAAGATATAAATTTTCGGTAATTTCCAAATTTTTGTATATCTCGAAGATTATAAGAGCTGCTGACTCCAGAATATTCAGATTTTTGGAAACCTTGCATATTAACCACAAATTAAATGTTTCATAAAGCTTATTCAAGAAATTGTATTCTATAATTTTTGGCTAAGGAAATAAGAGTTTATGTAGAATAGAAAGAAACTTGAATATTTTGTCAGGGCAGATTGGAGCTGGGTTCGAGTATCGCACTCTTTAGTATTTACGCACACCTGGACTCCTACTTAAATCTTGAAATCTCATAAAGATTACGAAGATATTTGGACAAAAGAGACGCACATTCGCAGCATAAAGTTGGCAGCTGGCGACGTGCGTATTTTCCCGGCAGTAGGTGTCCCGAGAATTTACCGGCCCCTAGAGACGGAGAACATTTCTTTTAGTGGGTTTTATTGGGCACGTTTTAGGTGCAAGTGTCTTGGGAAGAGGGGATAATGGCAAGGACTTGCACAGGGTACTGTGGATAGTAGAGGCGCCGTGGAGTTGTCCAGCATACATAGAGCCTGCCAAGCCTTGACATTGTGCGACTCTCAACTATCTCTTTTTTTTATTTTCAATTGGACTGTATTAGGAGGACGAAGTATTAGGCAGAGCTACGAAAAACTTCTTGCTGCACTTCTCTAATGATATAGTTCTAAAGAGGTGTTCGTTGCACAAGGAGCTGCAAAACTTATAATTTTTCAAAAAACTTCCAGCTATTTAAAGCAACTTTTAATAAGTTGTGCATGTTTTTGCTAGCTAATTGCGGGAGACTCTGCCCGGGCTGAGCTTTAAGTTACCGGAATTATAGCGCATCCAAGTTTATATCCTTATCAAGTTGGGGCGCCTCACAAGCTGCTGCTCAGCTGAAGCTGGCGAGACACTTCAAGGAGTCCACAGGCGAGGATACTGTCATTACATTTCCAGCCATTAACCGCACACACAGTGCCTCATAAAATGTTACTGACGCCAGGGCGAACTTTAGGCTGGGTTGGGTTTTGCTGAAGAGAGCAGCTCTTGGTAATTGAAATCTGTGCGTGGCTTTCGACTTGACAGCTCGCTGTCATTTCTTTGTCATAAAAGAATGAATAGTTCGCCATTCGCCATTCGCTTTCCGTTCAGGTTACAATTGCAAATACGCTCGGTGAGTCGTTCTTGTGCTTTGTTGTGCTTTGTTCAGTGCATAAAAAACACACACACAGTTTAAATATTATGAATGCCTGTAGAAGCACACATTTCCCTTTGGGCGTGCGGTTGCTTTCTGGTCAATGCTTTAATGCCGCACACAAAATTTGCATAATGCCTGAATTTATTTCAAAGGTTCTAGCAAAATGTGAAATAAACAAGTGCGAGTTGTGCAACCGACATTTCAATTCCTGTTCACAGCATTCTCAAAGCTCAAAGCAAAACAACTAAATGTGCAACAGACGGGCGTGTTCGACTAGAAGATACCCTAAACGCAGACTTCCTTCCTTAGGCCCACACTTCTGCAAGTCCGCTCGGGAAAAAGTTGGACCCAAATGTCTGTAAATACCAAAGTTCAGGTTTTGTAGGGAACGCGAAAAACTTGCAAAATAAATCCATGCAACAAATAATAATATCTTTTATAGATAAATAAATCTCTGTTTTTAACTAAATAAATATAATAAATATATGTTTTTATCCTAAAGAATCAAAAATTGCTCAGTCTTTGTTTTTAGATATAAATAGATATTCATTTATGTGGGACATATTTTAATTTAAATATCTCTGTTGAAATATTTGTGGTTTTTGTTTGTATTACCATTAAATCGGCAATTTTTTCAATTAGTATAAATTTCTCGAGGCAATAGTCATTCAAGAAATTTATACAGTTTAAGACATTTGGCTAACAACTTTGCATTTATATTTTAGAAATTTCTTTTGATGAATTTTGCGAATTGTCGTGAACTTATAAGCTTTCTAAATGTTCGCCTTTTCATTGTATGTTGAAATATGCCATTAAAAATCAATTTAAAGTAAAATTGAAATGAAATATATTATATGCATTTATTCTGTTTACAGCCAACCGCAAGGATAACAACAACAATATTTACGGCATTTATCACTGAGAATTTGCATCAAAGAGTTTGCACAAAAAAAAAAAATATTTGAATGAATTGGCGTAAAAAACTCGCATTGGATTAAAACAAAAAAAAAAAAAAAAAATGCAGCAGGAAGCAAAAAGTGCGCAAATTAAATTAATAGTTTACGCTTAAACAGTTTTCGTGCATTGCGATAGCATAATTGAAATCGAGAGCCAGCCAAAAAGCAATCTCTGGCCATGATGACCAGTGTACTCAGCGACATAAGCACCATCGCCATGGACATGGAGCTGGGTTCAGGTTCCGGCTCCGGGTCGGAGTCGCCTCTGTCGCCATTGAATGCAACCCGCGCCCTGTGGGAGCTGGCCATGACAACGACGGCCGAGACGCCGCTCTTTGATGAGAACGGCAGCTTGGTGCCCGTCACCGAGATACCCTATGTACCCTACGGTCGGCGACTGGAAACCTACATAGTGCCCATATTGTTCGCCATTATCTTCGTGGTGGGCGTGCTCGGCAATGGCACCCTGATTGTGGTCTTCTTGAGCGTGCGACAGATGCGAAATGTGCCAAACACGTGAGTCCCTACAAGTTTTCTCTCTTTTCGCCTGATTAAATATTTAATAAATTTATATTTAGAATTACATTTAAAACTTTCAAAGTATATTTATAAATAATTCGCCGTAGACATTTTCCTTTATCAAAACGAGAAAAACTCTTGTAGACATTCTCCTTAAGGTTTTGACAAGTATGTCTGAATAGTGAAGCTCGCAAATGCCGAGTCTGATAAAAATATCTTGGAAAACACAATATTTTGCTATAAAATATGGTAATGCGATATTGACAAGATGACAAGAAGCATAGTGAAACTTTTAATTTTGATACACAAAAAAGTTTTCCATGCAAGATCTTAATTTTCACATGGCTATATCAACTCGACTTTTGATATATGGGATCGAAGATGTCTTCATCTATGCATTACACATATCATGACAAAATTATAATACCCTTTACAAGCGTATAGTAAAGGGATTGATGAGCTTACATAGGACTGGACAGGTATGGTTGCGTGCTCCTCGCAGATTTAAATGCTTTTATACTCCATAAGACTTAGAAATATAAACATGCATTACTACGAAAGTATATCCGTCTTTCTGATTGAGTTGTTGTTGTTGCGTTGCGATTCTTTGCATTGGTTCCTTAGATCCCAGTTGGATCGAAACAATATATTATAGTTCTGCCAAAAACTTTTTTCTAAGATACTTTTGCGTATTTTTTAATTCTAGCTCCTATAGAAACAATCTGTTAAAGATATTGTTCTTATACAGAAATACCTCACTTATGTCTGCAAGAGTCTTCGGCGTAGTCAATTGTTAACTATTTTGAGCCAGAAGAAAGCGCAAAACTCGACCTCTTCCCACAGTTATACAGCTAGAGTCAGATAGATAGAGTCAGATCTTCTCTGAAGATCGAGTTGAACATATTTTAAGCTGCTTTTATAGCATTCTATTCACAGCCTCGAACTGAGTGCGAACTGAGTGCAGGGTATTAGCCCAGTCGGGCAAGTAAAAAGTACTCTTATTGTATTTTGATTAATGGCAAACTTTAATTGAATCGAATTGAATGAATAATTAACCAAAAAAAGGATGTGTAGGCGTGGCAAATACACTCTCGACGGCGACAATGTCTCTTCCGCCTGGCTTTAAATTAGTTACAGCCACAACATTTGCATATTAATTGCGCGACGTGGGGCCGAAATAGATTTTGGCTTATTTGGCTGACTAATTAGCCATGCTCGCTAGCTGTAATGTCTCTGTGTGTGTGTGCGTGTGTGTGTATTTGTGTGTGTGTGGCATAAATTGACTGTCATAAATCAAGTTATTGTTACTGTCAATGGTTGCTGTATTAAATGTGCCTTAGCCGTGGCCCGGAGACCTTTTGCCAACTGTGGCACGGAATACTAATTTAGGCGACTTTTTCTGAAAGATGTTGCCTTCTTAAACGGGCCAAGTTTGTGCTTAAAATCAAACTCAATATTGTTAAGCTAAGAAGCTGCTTGTTGAGTATCGACTGCTCTCGGGTTTATTGCTGTCGTGGCAGTAAAAGGCGGCAATAAAGTAAATGTCAAACAAGTTGCCAGCATGCAATATTTATTATCTATTTAATACAAAATTTCCTGAAATAACGTCTTCATTATTATAAACGATGGACACGTGTCTCATATTCTTTTTAAAAAGACAACAGGCTACAGTCCAAAGAACCTGACAGAGAGGTACTTATGCATCTAGATGCTGTATCCGACATTTTCTGCACACATCTCAGTATTACACACACAAACACACACAAGTTCAAGTTCTAACTCTGGATAAGATTCTCCTCCTCCTCATGAGGTAATACTCAGCGGCAGGGAAACGGAGAGTAGGTGGTGGTTTTAGTGGGTGAAGGTCCCACACTTTCGGCAAAAAAAAAACACACACACACACACGCACATGTTGCGACTGTGCTTTCTCTTCTCTTGGCCCCACACTGGGAGAACCCCATTCTTAAATAACTTCGGACCGCAAAATCCGATTCCTATGAAATTTTCGTTGCATAAAGATGCCGTCCCAAAGCGCCAAGTTAAACATCTAAAAATAGGCTCTTGTTAATTTTCCTGGTAACGGGCGACGGTTACCAAAAATAATGATATAATCTGAATGTATGTAGACCTTACCTAGAACTTACGGTGTCTCCTAGTTCTAATACGATAAAAAATCTAATCTGAAAATTAAATACTATTGGTTTTGTGGAAAAGTAGCGATTTATCGATGGTTTGATACAGATTTGGTCAAATTTGAAGTCTTTAGTACTTATAGAAAGTGAGCTCGAGTCTGAGATACATAGAAAGGGCGACAGGGCAGGGCCAGAACAACTCAATTGCTGTTCATGCTGATTAAGAATAGATATACTTGATCTTTTTAAACCTTTGCCAATATGTGCAGGATATAACAACTTGAAAGCACAAGTGCCACACAAAATATTGTAGAAATAAAGAACTATAAAAACTAGCCATAATCTTTATAGCTATCTGCTATCAATTGCAGCGAACAAGTAAACTCCTTGGCTTGCAGCCTGACTAAGTTTATGATTTATTTTAAAAGGCTCCGCCTGTGGCCACAATTAGGTGAATGTGGGCTTACGTCCACCTAACTTATACTTGCCTCTATCAACAGCTCGAAAGCGGCCAATTAAAGTATTAAACTTAAATGACCATGCATGCAGGACAATTAACTGTTAGTCCGAGCATAACTTTGCCGGAGTGAGCTTAAAACTTCAGTCGGGAGTAGACGCCTAGCAAATACTCTTAAGTCAGCGAAAAGGACAAAATCACGTAGATCGACTCAGCTCGTCGTCATGATCAAGCATATATGTACATTATTGAGCTAAAGATGCCCTTTTAAACATCCACTGTCACAGAAATACATGCCCTTCTTACCCATTTTCAATTGATTCAGAGTATACAAATAAAATGCTGTTTACGCGCTTTCAATAATCAAGTTTTCAATTTAAGTGCAAAAGCCTCGCAATCGAATGAAAGCCAGGCGAGAAAGTAAATGTCAAAGTGAATTACCAATTAATTAATCGAGTTGATGCGTTAAGTAGATATTCACAGCATTTTTTGGAACGTGCCATGTGACGAAAGACTTGCCAAAAAAAAATAAAATAACTAAAAGCCAACACGTGCCCCCAGCGAGCTACCGGCGCTGACCTGACCAGACTTGTGGATGCTGGGCGCACGTCTGCCACATAAAAGTTGTGTACTTAGTATATTCCAGCAAAAGGCAGCCGGAAATGTCAGCTGATCACATTAAGCTGAAATTGCATTTCATGGCCAGGACACCGAATCTCAGCGCCAGCAGCAGCAGCAGTCGCTCCTCTCCGGACCAGCTGGCAGATGCTTATCAGGCGTGCCCAAGTAATGTAATTTGTAGTTGCACAAACAAAGTGCCCCATGCAGCTTATTTATTGCAGGTTACGTGGCATAAAAGTGCAATAACCATATCTGAATTACAGATGCAATTTCCAGCTGTCGCTGATGTCCTTGCATATGTCGCCAAAGGAAATTCAACTCAAATATAATTACCAAATCAATTACTCTTTAGGCCAATCAAATAAAATTGTTAGCGGCAAATAAGGTCTCAGAATGTTAGCAAAATATCATTTGCCAGCTGGCATTAACTCAATAACATATATATTAAACCTATTCTATATAGTTTCATTTATCATGTAAAGATCTAGTTATAATTTAAAGATATTAACTAGCTTTGAAGTTCTCTTCATAGAAACAGTCAGTTCTACATATTCTTTTCAATCTATGGCAAAGTTTTCCTAATAAAGGGCTACTATTATCAAAAATTAAAGACAGGATCTTGACGAGGGTCTAGGACTATGGTCCGTATCAAATTATGTTGGGTAGCTCTTGGCAAACAGGAGCTTAAATCGATTTCTAAGCGGTATTCTTGAAAAGGGGCAAGATATCGGAGAGTCTCAAAAAGACCCACATTTTTATGCACATGGGCACACACCCAAACATGTCTATAGATCGAATCTGCTTTTAATGCTGAGCAAGAAGAATATATATAATTGATGGCGTTAGGAGATGCCTTCTTCCGCCTGTTACACAACAATAACCAATATGCCCCCTACAGGGTTCAGGGCATTGTTAGAGTACTAGGATTTTAAAGTCCGCTGCGAAAAAGATTTCTGTGCCGCATGCAAATGTCAAAAGCACTTTGGCCATTTTATTTTTGTGTGCGCATTTAATAAAGTGTCATATAAATCAATTTTATCAGCGCGAGCCGACAAAATTGTTTAACATGGGCAATGACAAAGACGCGCAAATTGCCAAAACTTGGGCAACAACATAAATCAGCAAAGCGTAACACGTGCGTGTGACCCTCAGCCGGAAAGCCAGACCAGTTGAGGGGTCATTCTATTTAACTCAAGAAAATATACATAAAATCCTTACGTGTGGTCCTTCAAAGTTTGTCAAGTGCGCAAGTGGATTATCTACAGATTTCTCATTCTATAAGCTCCCTTTATTAAGTTCCTTCCGCATCTTCTACATCATTTCAGCTACATCCTTTCCTTGGCGCTGGCCGATTTGCTGGTCATATTGACTACCGTGCCGCTGGTCTCGACGGTTTATGCCGTCGAGTATTGGCCCTGGGGCAGTTTTCTGTGCAGCGTTTCGGAGTTCATGAAGGATGTCTCCATTGGCGTATCGGTCTTCACACTGACGGCTCTCTCCAGTGATCGCTACTTTGCCATTGTCGACCCGTTGCGCAAGTTCCATGCACATGGTAAGAAACAACATCCATCTCATCCATCTCATCCCTTACTGAGACCATCATCCCGCAGGCGGTGGACGTCGCGCCACTCGCATGACTCTGGCCATTGCCGTGTCCATCTGGCTGCTGGCCATAATCTGCGGCTTGCCGGCGCTGATTGGCAGCAATTTAAAGGTGGGTGGAGTCATATAACAGAGTGTGTTGGACTTGCGATTTGATGTGCCTTCTATTTTCCAGCCAGTTGGCATCAATCAGGAGAAATCGATTGTCATCTGTTATCCGTACCCCGAAGCGTGGGGCGACAACTATGCCAAGCTGATGGTAATGCTGCACTTTTTGGTCTACTATGCCATACCCCTGGTCATCATAGCCGCCTTCTATGTCATGATTGCGCTACACCTGATGTACTCGGCGAGTGTGCCGGGCGAGATGCAGGGCGCTGTCCGACAGGTGAGTAGCGATGCTCAATCAAGATGATTGATGTTGGCTTCGGCTGAAGATTGATGTCCATGTTTGGCAATTACATTTAACGAGCGGGGCTTTAAATGCTTGACATTTTTTTATTGAGTGATTGATGATTGACAAATGAAGACAATGCTATTATTAAAACCTGATCCTATTTTGAAAATTAAAAAATAATCTCTTTATGCGCTTTCTGTCTATGTGTTTCAATAGGAAAAGGGCGGATATCTAGCTTTATTTTCTTGCTTGACCTGCCTTGAAAACCAGGCTCACTTTTAGTCTATATCTATTTGCCTCTATTCAAGCGGAAGATCATCTATATTTTCCACTGCTTAGAGCTGGATCGCCCATAATTTAATAGCCTAATTACTAGGTAGATCAGTCTAAGATATTGAGTCTAAAAGTCAGCAGTTCAATTACCAAAGAGACTTTTCAACTTTCAAAGAAGTGAAGCTATGTGTATAGAAATTATCTAAGGTATTTTCTCCTCTTAAATGTCTATTTCATAAAAATAAATGTCAATCTTGTGACATTTAATGACTTGTGCAGACAAATACAGACAAATGACAATAACTTTTCAGTAAGTTATTTTTTCAGGAATTGTTTCAATAATTTCCAATCGATTGAGTTCGCCGCAAATTGAATAATATTTACCCAAAGCTCTAAATTGAATTTTTCATAGTCTACTTTGACCTTATTTGGTATGCAACGAGATTTTCGCTCACCTGCCGAATAGATAAACGACATTTCATATTCAGTAGCATCGGTTTTTTATGTACGCATTGACAATTGTATCGAGCAGATTGTTATATTGGATTTATGTTTTGCAGGTTCGAGCCCGTCGCAAAGTCGCCGTCACGGTGTTGGCATTCGTTGTCATCTTTGGTATTTGCTTTCTGCCCTATCACGTCTTCTTTCTATGGTTCTACTACTGGTAAGTGGCGACTTTTATCCAGCACAGCAGCGACAAGCAGGAGCAGGAGCAGGAGCAGGAGGAATGGATGAACGAGCATCTGCAAAGAGGATGCCAAGGGAGTTTATGCTCCGGACCATCTATCTATTGAATACTTGGCTCACATGGCGTATGAGTAATGCGAGCGCCATTCGCTGTGACCATTTGCCCTGGTCAATCAATTTCCAACTTGTCGCTGGCTTATGTCTCCATTAGGTTTACATACAAACTCACATACATACATACTTTCTATTCCGTTTACAGGCCCACAGCACAGCAGGATTACAACATGTTCTGGCATGTCCTTCGCATCGTCGGCTTTTGCATGTCCTTTGCCAACAGCTGTGCCAATCCGGTCGCTCTCTACTTTGTGAGCGGGGCGTTTCGCAAGCATTTCAATAGGTATTTGTTCGTTCACATCACCGCAGCAGAATAACAGCATGATAACGATAATCGATAACCGATACCGATTACCGATAACAATGTAATAACTGTTACTGTACGCGTAAGCTAACTGCAATTTGTATCTCAAACATACAACTAACAAAAACACAACAAACAGACAAACATAACAAGTAGACACTTTAAACTTTTCTTTGACATCTATCTGCCTCCCTCTGACACCTGCATATCATGTCATACCTGTTGGGGATTGTGCCTGGGAAAGTTAAGCTCATTTTTGATTGCAATTCTGATGGAACTTTTTGCTTGTTTGTCCGACGCAGGGCAGAAACGAATCAAAGTTTTCAGAGGCAGGGGCGACAAAAAGAAATCACAGAGGAATTCAAATCAATTTGTGATATACATAAATACATAAATTCATTCAATTAAATTGTAAAGACGCTTAAAAGTAAAACGCAGACAGCGAAGTCTTACAGCTAGATTGAATAGGAATCTATTTGCGTAATTACACAAAATGAATACGCAATCAAAATGCAATTGTTTTTATATAAATTACGCAAATTGTCGATTTGGGCAGATTGTTTAGTAAATATCATTTAATATCAGAGTGCTCTAATTGAGTAGATACCCTGTATCCAGCGCAGTTACAAGAAGAGCAGCCGCGGGTAACCAAAAAGTGAAATATTTTCTACCTACGTATACTATTCGAGAACATCCCAGGCAGATTGCGTAACTAATAATCTATTCCAAACAAAAATGTATCTCAAAATCGATATTATGGAAGGGATATTGTAGAAGAAGCTCAGCTCGGTTAGCGTAAGATAAATACAGATTTCACATTTCAAGTCCTACCTCTCAAGCGATTATACGGACGGACATAAAGCCGGACTGTGCAGTTCCTATATTCTATTCCAAAAAATCTTTTCAAAATCGATATTTATCGATATTATGGAAGGAATATTGTAGAAAAAGCTCAGCTTGGTTAGCGTAAGATATTTACAGACTTTTCATATTAAGACCTAGCTCTCAGATGGACTGTCCAGGGCTCACAAGCAATTACGTAGATGTTTCTAATCCCTTAACTAACAATTTTATGGCTAAGGTGCGTCTCATACAAACAAGAATTGACAAACTTTTCAGGCTCTTGCACAGACTTTGAAAGCATAATTTAATTAATTATATTTTCCTGCTTGACTTTTATTGCATCCCTTTGTGTTTGGCCAACTCATAAACATCATAATGAACATGAATGCCCCTACTCGCATGCGCCATCCAGATACCTTTTCTGTCGAGGCATCAGCGGACGTCGCAAGAAGCGCAACCAGCACAACGACACCTTCTGCATGCACCGGAACACCTCGCTGACCAGCACAGCCTCGAAGCGTTTCCAGTCCCGGCACTCCTGCTACCAGAGCACAGTGCGCAGGTAAGTCCAAGCACAAGGCAAAGCCATATCAGAGATATTCCTAAGTCCTAAGTACTCTTCACATAGCTGCCGGCTGCAGGAGACAACGATTACCACGCTGCCCAACGGCGGCCTAAACGGAGTGCCCAGCACAGCCGTTACCCATAATGAAGCTCCCGGCTATGAATTTACACCACTCAGCGATTTCGGTCCGCTCAAGGCGTCACAGCTGGCACAGCGGCTGCAGGAGTCTCCATTAAACTGAGCAGCTAGAGTCGCTGACGTTCCAAACGGAGATTACAGGAAGTATCTAGTAGCAGAAATGTCAACTAAGTTTTACATAATTGAATATGTTCCGAAATGCGCTTCTATTTCACAAATTCACATTCTGTAAAAACTCGTTGAGAATTTTAAGCAGCACATCAAGCAAAACCAAAGGCATTTACTCTGCGCTATTCTCCACATTAGCAGAAACTCTGCCTAGGCTATTCGGTAATCTAAATTTCAAGATGTTAGGATTTGTTTAAAAAAAAAACACTTGACCAAGTTTTTTCTTTGAAGTTCATTCTTTAATGCAACGAAATGCAAACAAATTGTAGTTGGTACTCAACATTTCACTTGACCTTTTCAATTTAAGAGCTCCCCGAGGAGTGGGCTTGAGGAACTTGCCCAAATTGCTTGGTGAATTGAGTGCAGAAAATGATTTACGGAACATCTTGGCGTTAATATAAAGTTTATGACTTTTAGTTCCTAGGCTTGTACATATACAAAAGAATTTAATGTGTTTTTCATGTCTAGTCGTAATCGTAAGCGGCAACTGTGTCTGTTTCATACTAAAGTATTGCAGCCGTTGCACGGCTTTAAGCTAACAAAAAATTTAAATCAAGTATTTACAATAAGATTTATGGCTAAGACTTAACGTCGTGTTTCACATGCACGACAAGAACGCACTTAGTAAATTAAATGCTAACTTCAATTGTCCTCTTGTATATATTTTAAGCAATTAAATATTTAGATGTGTAAATATATGTATCTTTAAAGATTTCAATCGATTGTTGCAATAAATGTAAATTTGTGTGCATTAAACTAGCAAGTGTTCATTTATTATTATCAATGCAGAAAATGTTGCCTACTTTTGGGCGCATCCAATGGGGACTAAAATTTATTGCTATTTCCATTGTCTCTGTTCCTCGTTTTATGTTCAACTTTAAGGCGTCAACTTTAAACGTAAATGCGACCTCAAATTCGAAACCGGAAAAAGGCGCGTCGCAAAGCAGCTTTGATGGAGGTTGGCCAGCTGCTTTATGGCTAGTCCAGGTCTGGGTCCGGGAGTGTGCCGTCGGAGTTGGTTGTTTCTGTGGCCCGATAAGCATGAGGGAGATTAATTGGTTTGGCTGCGGGCACATCGAGCAAGGTGCGGACTTAAGCAAATTGTGCGGCTTTTAAGCACTGTTTGCCTTTCCGACTCGATTTCCGGCCATGGCCAAGCTGCTTTGGCTCAATCAGCTTAAATCTCGCGTATATACGACTTATTTTATTGCCACGACAGACGCATAAATTAAATTAACTTTTCATAAATGTTACAGGCGTTGATCTGCTGCGATTCCTTTGACACATGAACATCATCATTCCCATCATCATTGCCTTTGCCTTTGCCAGCGAGGACAGCCCATCAGTTGTGGCTTCGTAAGCGGAAAATGGCTTCACATTTTGCTCATATTTGTTTCTTTTGACTTATTAAAATAATAAACCCGCTTCTCGCGTCACTGAGTCCCGAGTGGAGCCCGGAGTGGGGCAGCCACCGAGTCAAGTTGTCATCGGGCCAAGTCGAGTATTTATCCTTGGCTTTATCCGCAACTGGCGCATTTTTGCGGTTTTCTGGGTTTGAATTTCAATATTATTTCCGTTCATTTCGCTGTTTGCTGCTTCTACGATTACAGTATCTATATTATATTTGGCTCCAACAGCCGAGTAACGTGCGTATTGCCACTAATTAGTTGGCCAAGTGGCTATCAAATATGCAAATTCAATTAAATTAGCCTAATTGGCCGAGTCAAGCAACTCTTGTTGATTCCAACGAATCTCAAACTTTCTATAGTTCAGCACAGTTCGGAGTGTATTTAAACAAAGTTAGGACATTTCCCGAAGGCAACTCAATCTCTAATCTTTGAACCGCGATGAAATATTCATCGAAAAGTAGATAATACATCATTTATATAGATTATATTTAATGCCCAAACAGTTGCGCACCTTTCAGGTGACACACTCTCGATGAGAATGATATGCTATCGTCTGCAAGCTGGATCGTATTCTATACCAATTTATATTGATTTTATGCACAGGTAATTCGATAACCTTAAGACAATAAAATACCTTTTTATGTGCCTGTGACTTTTGGTATTCAAGCACATATTTCTTAGAAGCCTTGCCTATGCCCTTCTGTTCGACTTCTGTTATTTTTATCTACTGTTCTTCTTTCTTTGAAATCAACAAAAGAAAGTTTAAGGCTTTGCCTGGGTAACACGAGCTCAGGCTGACTTTTATGCTACTGAAGCTGACTTTGTCTTAATTTCTGGTTTTGGACTTTGTAGCGAAACTTTTGGTCTAAATTGAGTTTGATAAATAAAAGCCAAAGTACAAAAACAACGCCTACACACAAAAGCCGCCAACAGCTAGGGCTTTGTTGGGTTTTACGGTTCGCGCAAAGGTGCAAATTAAGTGTATTTCCGTCAAATAAAATACTTGTAATGCGTCTAGTTATTCATTTCTTATTTAAACGGCCATTAATATTCATTTAAGTGGCCCGACGACACTTCAAAAACGCAATAACAACAACAATGAGAGCAGCCATAACGGGACTACAATAACAAAGGCACACAAACAAATAAAACACACACACTCGCACACACACGCACACGCACAAAACAATAATAAGGCTGGAGCATATTAAACATATGTGTGCATGTAGTGAGGGCTAAGGGGTAGGGGGTAGGGGGGTTGGGGGGCTGAGACTGACTGCGGCAAATAAATAAAACGATTTGAGACCCACAACGCAAATGTAAATACAAAACAAACCTCAAGGTGCAAAGCAGAGCAATTTATCGAGAAACTGGGCAAAGCGGTTGAGGGGAGCTGCGGGGACTGCTAATCGTAAATTGCGTTCAGCGACAAGAGCACAAAAACAACAACCAAAGCAGAGAGAAGCTTAATCTAGCACGCACACACACTCACGCACGCAGGCAGACACAGCCACACATACACACACACACACAGACGCACGCAGACAGAGCCGCGCACACATAGACAGCCACGCTCACTAATACAGTCGCATTAACGATATAAAAATTGGCACTCAATAAGCATGAGGGCACTTTGGAGGCGAGACGCACACACACTCACACACGCATACATGCTCAGACTTCAAGAGATATTCCTTCAACGTGTGTCTGAGACGTACGACACGTAGGCATCTACCGTTTGTCGCCTTTGGTGAAGGGGGCGTGGCTTCTCTACTTATGCAGAAATACAGTTACAGTATGAAAGACAGTCGGAAAAGATGCTTACAGCATGAGCTTTACGGTATTAGAATATTGCTTTCCATATTTATTTATATACTCGAACTATCTCAGTCAGTATTTAGTGCGCAGTAACACATTTAAGTTAATATTATGGCAACTTGGGCCAGTGTTGCAAGACGGCCTAAACCGGTCCGGCTTGAACCCGGGATTTTTTATGCTACTTGCGGTAAAATGCAACCTTAAATTTTACCCAAATAATTTTTGACCGCGGTTTTCCCACAGGAAGGATGCATTTTAAATTTCCGCCAAATTGAACACAGTTTCCCCTGGGCAATTGCCCAACACGTCTTCATAAAGTTCTTAAGAAGGGCTTAGAAAATAAGTTGACGTCGATCGGATGAAACTTGAAACTTCGCACAAAAAATGTTTGACCCGAATTTTGCACACAGAAGGGTTGGGCTTTTATTAATGCATGAATTTAAGAATTTCAACTTCATATATACTATCTGAAAACAAGCTGAAGCGATTTACGTTTACCCCGGCTTGCAATTAGTTGCGATTAAATTATTAAGGTTCTTTGTTTTTTATGTTCCATGAAGATTGCTGAAATTAGGCACAAACTTTTAAACGATTTGCCTCTTCAGTTTCATTTAATGTGAGAATGTTTTGTGCGTTTCTTAAAGAACTTGTTTTGCAACTTTTTCTGAATTCCAAAATTCATTATAAAGTCCTTCCAGTCATTCATATGACGTTAGACTATTCTCCAACCAGGCCCAGCGAAGATTCGAGTCTCAGAACACAGCAAAGGATTTGCGCTAGGAACTTTCATGTCATATTTTGATTATAATGCAATCTGGCAACATTATTCTTGGTCGAAATTTATGTACAAATATCCTATATAGATATGGTTCAACATTTGCTACCCCCATAACTCGGTCAAATCTCATCCGATTTTCACGAGGTTTGAGTTTTTGTTCACGGCTTGGCCTCTAGATCAATTTGGCCCGTAACAGTTCGATCGGATTTGACACTTCTTTTTAAAGAACTTTGAGGGAATTTATCTCAAACGTACTACGAATAAGCGCTGCGTATACCCGCTAGTTTTACATAGATATTTAAAAATAAAGCTTTGTGAATGTAACTCCTTCCCTAACAAAAAGCGAAGCTTGCTGAATTGTAGTTTTAGCTATGTCACACGTACAAATACCACATATTTCAATTATGTCGAAACTGGCAACTAAATCCAAGTCGATTACCTACCCACAATACGTACGAAAAATACTATTTAATCACACGCCCCATTTAAAGCCTCCAGCCAGCAGATTCCTCACACTGTTCAGGAATCACGCACAAGCCGAAAATCATCACCTGCTGACTTGCACTATATTAAGCTGAAATTACACTCCTCTTGCCACGCCCACCAACAGGCCTAAGCCCTGGGCATGGCCCACACCCTTCCGATTTGGTCGGCGCACTCGAGTTCGAGTCTATTTTAAGCATTTACAAGTTTATTGCCAGCCGGTCAAGTGGTCAAGTCCACAGACCCACATCTTGCCTCCGGCCATGTCCTGGCAACTAGCTCGGAGCCGGGCAGACTCAGAGCTGAGCTCCTTTTTGGGGCAATCACAGCGGGCGGTCTCACAGCGGGTGGTTTATGTGGTCCATGCGTGGCATGGGGCAGCTCCACGATGCTTCATGTGTACCTAATTGCAGGGAAGGGCACAGGGCACAGGGCACAAGCCTCGAATCTGACACCAAGCGAAACCAAAAACAAATAATACTATTCCCTAAAACTAAGCATACGCCTCGTATAACGACTGGCTGACAGTAATTAAGCAAGTCAAAGAGCAGCTGCCACAGCGACGAATAACCCAATTAAATGTAGTGCGCCAGTCACGAGATAATTACTGAGATGAAGTGCACTCCGGCGAGGTAAGCCCAAAGAAGATCCCCAGCAGACGCTCGCCTTGGGCCTTTCACTGAGCTGCCACAGATATCAAAATGCGACATTTGGGATGCTGGCGTTTATTGCTTTAGCACATCAACAAATATAAATATATAAATAGGCAACAAAAAAAAAACCACCGAAGCAATGTAGAGAGCATATAATACAAGTGTTGAAGTGCTCCAGCTCGACTAGGAAATACCCTATGCAGCCGCCAAGCAGCCGAATTAAACATGCTAACTCACTTTAAGGATACAGGAGCATGTAAATGGATGAGGTTCTATATAAAATTATTGACAATTGAAATATTTTATACCATGTTTTAAAATCGATATTTATCGATATTACGAAAAATTAGTTAACAAGCTGGATATACGATATCATGTATATACGAGAATGTATATAAAAATTTCCAAGTCTCTTTAGTTTCCGGGTTCGACTTGCCTACACAGACAGACAGACAGACAGTCAGACAGCTTAATCGACTCAGCTCGTTGTCCTTCTGTTTAATGATAATAGTTTCTTGTGCCTGTCACATACATTT